GCCCCAGACTTGCTATTATTTTGCACCAGGTTTGTGGAAAAACATTTTAACTTCCTGACCCAAATAGAAGAAACGTCACATCTTTCACATCTTCCGTGCTCTGCTAATCGTTACTTGGCTGTTCTGTTTATTGGCTTTTAATTTGATTTCGCAGCGTTCTTTGTCGAGTTCTTGCAGCATTTCTTAAAACTCTGTCATACTTTCCCTAATCTGCAGAATTCAAACTTAATCAGCCAGTCTAAGATGACCTAGCCGTTCTTATTGATTGTTGTTTCTCCTTTCTGGTCTGTCCCCCATGAATGCCAGTTCTGCACAGGCCGTGAAAAGATTTGGTAAAATTGTTTCTTTGCTTCACGTCTTTCCGGACTGGGATCCGGTGGGTTGGGTCGAGTAGGGTGTTGTTCGCTGTGCATTCACTACAGCTCGCTTTCTTCAGCAGTTCGAAATACCATGGGTCGATGCTCTGTTATGCAAATGCGCAACGTACCAGTTCGATTGAGTTGAACACCGTTTCGTGTTTAGTAGTTTATGAACGCAAAGCACAAAAGCGTTCTAGTAGTTCGGTCAGAGGGAAAATGTTGTCCAATGTCGTAAATATTTTCGAAATTCTGCCTGCTCTCTCGATTGCTGCTCATCCAGCCTCCTTGATGGTCGACTTTCAACTATCGTTGTGGACAGCTTGCAGACGTCGGAACAGCACGTTTTGAGAGATGGTTCTGTGAATCTTACTCATCGCCATTCTTATGTATCAAAGTCGTAATTGAGTCTTTCTGTCACGATGGAATCTTCTCTATTTTTAGGCATCGAGGGCACCTTCAAGCCAGTGCTACCTTCTCAGTGTTTCTCATCGCTTGCATAAGTAATTTATATTCTCCCTCCATTTCTTTCCGCAGACTTATCCCCGCCCCTTCATCGGGTAAGAGGCGTGTCGAACTTCGCTCACGAGGAAAGGAAGGGCTTTGTCCTCCGACTGCCGGACTGTTAGTGGTGGCATTTAATCTTGTAGAACAGTTGAGTGCAAAAATCTTTCCAGACTACCTCCGTGCCGTCTTTGTCCGATGATTTTCATCGTCCTTGTTTTTCAACGCCCGCTAGTCGGCCGATGGAATACCAATTCCATTCTGTAGCTTCTTAGCGTCCTGTATGTTTCAGTTAAGCATAATAATGAAGTTCTCTTTTTCATTTCCCATTTATAAATAGCATCAGTGTTCTAATAAAACTCCCCTAAGCCTTTAGAAAAAATAGTCATAACAACATTGAGTACTTTCTATTCTCATTTCCGTGACACATCGCTCTTTAAGTCTAGTATCGCGCTTTCTGATGGCAATTTACTGTTAATGGTTACTCTGACAGTGTTTGGCCAATCTCTGTTCAGTTACTGTTACTCCGGTATGCACCTCCTTTTATGTTCGGTGCATTGGTTGACCGTAACCGTCTGTTTACTAAGCTATTAGATATGCTCAAGTGACTTCAATATTCATATCTTTGTTTCATTTCATCCGGCGGATTTCCGATTATTGAAGGGTTTGTGGGGATGTCTTCAACAGTTTCCAAACGCGTTACACCGGAAAAGACTTAGGTACACTTCGTTGTAACCATGCGTAGTATGGTGTCAAAGTTTATCACAATTTTTGCGGACGAATCGTCACTTCTGTCGCTCTCTGGCGACCCATTGGTATGTTGTGAAGGACTTGACGACACGGTCCCTCGGATTAAATATGCGATGGCCCTACAAGAAGACCAATGTAGAACAAGAAATCATTGATTTTGATTATATTCTCCAAAATGAGTGTCAAGGATTTCTGCTGATTGCGGTTAGTCTGGTTTCTCACCTTAAATCCGGTCAGCATGGGTGGCCTTACAAGAAATCAAGGATTCCTCTTGCATAGCTTCGAGGTTCGTTAAAGCTCGCAAGCCCAACCGCCATGACACGGCTGCGATCACGGCGGGGATCTGAGGTCTGAATATTATTTTATTTTGAATATGCTACAATATTTATTTGCAGTTCATCAGCTTGTGACATCCCAAGCGACTTAATCATAACAAAACGAATTCTGTAAATATTCAGAAAAGCATCAACAGAACACATTGAAGCCATTATCCATTAGGCAGTAATGAATGGGCGAACGATAGAAAAAGATGTGCATTTACATCTATAAATGAAGGCGCTTTTACTCGACCTTCTGTCCAAAGTCTACGGAAGTGTTTCTGTAAAGAAACGGAAACATATGTGCAGTGAACTTTTTACACAAATGGTAGATGTCGTCAACATTTACTCTGAGTATTGAGCGATTAGTGAAAATGACTACTCCAATGTCGATTTAAAGGCTGGTTCACAAAGCAGGAGGATTGGGGACAGCGATGAGGTCAACCGTAAAACAGTACCTCATGGTGTTGCTGTTGTTGAACGCTATGTCGGTTGAATACGAAGAGCCCCGTAGGCTGTTGAAGAACCGAGGCAGACCTCGAACATTTGACAACTACAACTTGCTTCACGTGCCTTCTGGGGACTGCGGTCGTAGCAACACGTCGACAGCTGTCGAAGATGAAATACAAGAAGAAGACGAAGGTGTAAGTCAGCAGCGGGACCGCTACCCGTTCTGAACGGATGGGGCAGGCACCCGATGTCATTATGTTACGTCTTAATAGGGATCCACTGGAACGATTCAGACCGCTGGAGGTCACCGTGCGGAATTGGAATATTTTCTCATTCAACTCGACTGCGGTACGAAGAAGCAAACAATATGGCAACGAAAGCAGTGGCCAACACCAAAGCTGATTACGGGGCTTCAGCTGGGTGAACGTGAAATGAATGGAATCGAGTTTTTATACGGCAAACTGGGTTTTCTGACAGACCATTTCTATAATGGCAAGAAAGACAATCTAAGAGCATTGAGGGACAAGTCAGGACGCCTTCGTTCCAAGGTAGAGGAAATAGACGTTTCAGCGATGGTGAGAGTACTTTTAGGAACTCCTTATCCTCGAGCAACTGAATGAAGATTCGCCTGAAGAGCAGCAAGTTGCAACAAATATTAGGCTTTCAACGGTTAAGTCATCGAAGCTGTAAAAAGCTTTGAAAGTAGTGAGGCCGCTGCAACAGATGAAATGCGCATTGAGATGCTTCAAGCTGTAGGAAAACAAGCCCTGTTGTTGCTAACACGTGCATTCAAAACTGCAATCGCAAAAGGGAGAGGCAGCAGTGAACTGGAGAAAGGGATTGTACAGCTCCTGTTCAAGCAGGAAGGTCACAGAGAGTGCTCGAATGGTCAGGGAGGTTCACAGAATCTTATTGACCC